CAGAGAATGCAGTCACAGAGTCTTCTCGCTCTCCGATACCTACGGTCTATCCACCACCACGAGACAGTCAAGTCATGGAAAATGAAACAGACCTTTCCCCCAATGGAAAGCAGTAGATGGGCACAAATCGTTCCAATTAGCAACAAGCGTAACCTCATTTCATTTACCAGAAAACCGTTCTTTGGCCAAAAATTCCTGATGATTCTCATTAGTGCAATTTTTTTCTCAGCGGCAGCTGAAGATAATTTGTACCAATGACGCTTAATACTGTTCTTCTGAGAGATTATGAAGTTCAGAAGCAGAGAAACTCAGGCAGTTCTCTGAGTCCTTTGGGTGCTAGAAAGAATTCTACTTAAATGCTCAAAGCATGAAATGAATATGCCTTGAGCTTCAGCCTTCCAAGTCTCCTTTATCCGCTACTACCATAGAAACAGTATAAAGCAGACCTGTGAAAGACTGATTCAGGGAGGCACTTAAGCATGTGCTTATCTACGTGCTCTTCTGGAGTGAGTCTAAGACAGAGGACAGATGCAAGTGATCCACTTATCCTGATGGAAAATTGACTATTCTCTGTTGCTAGTTAATAAATAAAGCCCTCTTCAAAGGGTTTGCTTTTGTAAGAGGTATGTCTTACAGAGGGTGCCCAGGCTGTCAACAGGGCAAGGATCCCAGAATATGTCTGCTCAACAAAATGAAGGTGCGGCTGTAGGCATGCATACCTAGCTAGCTTTCATTTAGCTAGTGTGGACAAAAATTGCAGCAAATACATGATGATAGCTTCAGTGCAGGCAAACATCTGGCAGGTAAACCTTCTGGGAACCTGGATACATACTCCCATTGCTTGTCCTTGCTGGAATCTGTGTAGTATCCAGCCTAGCTCGATTATACTTAGAATAGGAAAATCTGCCTGTGCTATAATCGTGCCTTCATTTAGCTATGCAGACATACTGACAGATACAGACTGTATAAAATATTGTGTGAGAATATGTAATGGGTATGTGTCTTGCATTTCACCTTGAATGGAGATATGCTTTATGCCTGGGCATTAAGACCATGCAAAGAAATGAACAGTAGGTGAAAGCAGAGACGTTACCAGTGTCTTTCTTCTCTTTGACTTTTCTTATCTTATTGTATCACTGCTAGTGCATGAGAAGAACCCTAAGGTGACAGTGACTAGAAGAACCTGAATGAGTCTATTTTAATCTTCCAGGGGGACATACATGCAGGAAGGTAAAGAAGAGGCTCACCAGGAGAGAAAACAAGAGCTATTTTAAAACCTATTTCATGTTTAATTATCTGAGACATTAAATGAAGGAGGAAAAATCTATTTTACATAAACAAAAATCTTGACTTTTAACCTGAGAGTTTCCCTCCCAAAGAAACATCATCAGTTTGAAATCTAGTCCATTAAAAATGAACAACCAGGGAGCAAGAGAAGTCTTGTTCCAAAGGCACTAGTTCAAGGCTTGGTAAATATGAGTTCAGTTCTCATTTCTACCGTAAATTTCTTGAATGATCTTTAACGTGACACTTATCCTCCCTGTGCTCCACTTCTCCACTGATATATCATATTCCCTTCATTTCCCTTCTGTATTTAGACTGTAAACTCTTATACCATGGGATCACACAGTAATTAGCACAATAAAACAGGGCCCTAAAAATCTGTCTAGAGTAGCAGTTCTCAACTGGGGATCCACTGCCTCCTGGGAAGCTGCAAGCAGGTTTCAGAGGGTCCGCCCGACCCAGCCCAGCATGGCACGGCATGGCATAGGGAGGGGTCGCCTCAGCCCCCTGGGGCGGAAGTCAGTCTCAAGGAAGGGGTGGGGGCAGACCCACCCTCACAGCCTCCATCTTGTGGCTGGCACTATGGGCAGGCGTGCAAGCCACTGTGCTGCTGCTATGCAGGTGAGTGAGGCCCTGGGGCACCCCACTGTCGAGTCTTGCCTGCTGCACCCAGCGCTGGGACTGGGGCACAGGTGGGCTGTGGAGTTTTTACAGCATGCTAGGGAGAGCCTCAGGAAAAAAAAAAAAGGTTGACAACCCCTGGTCTAGAGTATGGTAGAATGGGATTTCAAAATGGATTAGGTTTGCCCAATTAATTCCATGAGTGGATACTCTTATTCCAGATTGAGAATGCTTTACTCCTATTTTGTTCTTATTGTGGAATAAGAATGGCTACACATGGGCCTATTCAGAAGGAGCTATTGTGACATAACTCTTCATGTAGGCAAGCCTGCAGCTGAGGTTCTTAGGTACAGCATTAATGCAATGATGAAAGTGCCATGAGGTACTATCTTGCCAATATCTATGGCCATGTTACCACATTTTCCTAGTGAAAAATAAACGGTTTTATATTCCTTGTATTTTATGAAAGACTCACAGAAGCAACAGGTGAAACTGACTGTGATGAAACTCACTGCATGCATTGCTCCAAGGCTAGGGACAGACATTACACATAAACCAGTTTAAATGATCAGAAACTGGTTTAAACCTGTAACAGAACAGACATTCAGTGCACATAAACCAATTTGAAAATGGCTGAAACCGGTTTGAGATAAACCTGGTTGAATGTAGTATCAGACTTGACTGATTTGGGCAAACCGGTTTATGCAATGTCTGTCCCAGACCCACGCTCTCTGGGCTGGGCAGGGCTCTCTGTTCCTGGCTGGAGCTCCAGCAGAGATAGCAGGCACCTGGTTTCCCCTTGCCCCCCTCCTCCCCTCTCCCACAGCACAGACCCTAGCCAGCATGTGGTATGCTAGCTAATGCTGAGAGGTGTCTGTGTAAGGCAAACAGAACAAAGGCACACAGGGACAGCTTTTGCTTAGGGCAGGGGTGAGCAATTATTTTGGGCGAAGGGCCGCTTACTGAGTTTTGGCAAGCCATTGAGGGCCACATGACAGGCAGCCAGGGGCAGATTATTAATTTTCAAAATTTTTAGGGGCCCTGCAGGCCAGATAGAATGGCCTGGTGGGCTGCATTCGGCTCGCGGGCTGCATTTTGCCCATGCCTGGCTTAGGACCTTTTGGAGCTAATCAACAGGTCAGCTGGTAATGTCATTCCATTCCTTCCTTAGAAAAAGTTGTTTAAGAAGAGCTTGAACTAATGAGAGTGGCTTTTGTTTTGTTGATGGGCTGATAAATGCTGTGTCATCAACTCCCTGCTGGGCTGGTCAGGAGCAGCAAGTCAGGGGCAGCAGGGTGGGGGGGGGGAGGGGCGGGGAGACTCCTCCCTAATCAGAGCATCCTTTCAGGGCCTGGCCATGACATCCCTCAGTTCAGCAGTATGGAAGGGAAGGGAGGACTGCTTTAGCAACTCCCGGCACTGCAGGCATGTGCCTCAGTCCAGAGAGGATGTCTGTGTGGTTACAAACTGGTTTAGCCTACCAAGGTTAGACTAACCTGCAAAGATTGAATCAATTCAGGCTCAGGCTTTTTGAATGGCTGTCCCTAGCCCAATAGTGTAACTAAGGGCACTTGGGGAAAGGGGGTGCAAAAGTAGCAGCTGCTGCCACTGCCCTCTTGGCCATTATGATGCCAGCGCCAGCACCAGCATCTGGGCTGCAGCTGCCAGCCTGTATGCCACCACCTCCCAGGGCACAGAGCTGTCCAGTGACATCTCTGTATTAGCCTGTCAAATGAACTAAAGAAACCCATTGGGAATGGAAAAAAAAATCGCTTCTTTTTCCATTGTAGTAACTTTAGGTGTAACTTGCAATGAGAGCAGGTAAAAAGAAATGCAGAAACATGTGAATTTTATATGGAGGGGCTCCCTTGAACAAACTTGTTCAAATCCATGCTTGTTTTTATATTTTATTTTTAGCAACACCACCTGGCCTGAGACAGAAAGAGCACAGTCCTGGATGTGAGTGTATGTTTATGAGGGAGTAGCTGGGGACCGTGTGCTTATGGGTTTGCCTTATTCATACAGAACCTTTCAGTATTTTTAATAGATGACTGCTGGACTACAAAAGCCTGATTGGCTTTGTCTTTGTAATGGACTATGTTTTATTAACTGATGACTGGCTCATATAGAGGCAGCAGAAAAGACAGGGTGTCAGGAACAGGCAGCTCAAGTGGATGGCTATATTTTGGACAAAAGCAGCACCTGCAAAAAGCAGCATTAATCCTATCTATCTCTGTGTCCAGGGACCAGGGCAGATGTCTGTGGTTAAATGTACCATGGTGCAATCAGAAAGCAGCCTGTGCTGAAGTGCTGACTCAGAGAGCAGAGCTCTCAGCCGAGCGGAGTCCATTCTGCATTGGCAAGTCATTGAACCTGTGATCTCGGCTTGCTATAGTCAGGCAGGGAAATAGGGCGTCTGCTTCTCTGTGCCACGGCTTAAATAAAATGCATTTCCCTTCCCCCACTGTCCTCTGAAGTAAACACCCGTGGTTATGCAATAAGGTCTTACTGCTCTGAAAATAATAGAAATGCTTATGTGGCAAACAAAGAGAATGCTGCCTAATGGTCAGAACAAAGACTTGGGAGGCAGAACAATTAGCTCTTGGGCTAATTATCTAGTGGTTAAGGGGAAAGGGAGACAGGACTTCTGAGTTCTATTCCTGGGCACTGGAGGGAAGTGGCTGGTAGTTACAGATCACGTTTTTCTCTGCCATATCTTCTTCCTCTGGATAAGGGGTGCACGTATTTGTTAACAAAGCCGGTGTTGCCAACTCCCCAAATATTCTTGTGAATTCTGATATATTTTCTGTTTTTATTAAAATCTCCAAATTAGGTGACAACATAAGAGACAACAAATTCAGAGGCCCTGGAAGAATGTATAGGGGAGTCTGTGTTTCTGTAGACCCAGGCCCCTCAGTCCCTATTCAAGGAAATGCTCACAACCAACCAATTCATTTTTAAAGTTCAAATGGGAAGTGGTTTCTTTCCATTCCTGAACTGAACCCCTTAAGGATTTGAAAGGGGGAGAGAGAGGGAAAGAGAAACAGAGAGAAAGAGGAATGGGGAGAGAGAGAAAGAGGCAGAGGTACACTAACCTTCTTTGGTGGTAAGCCGAGAGGAGGCCTCTGTGTGGGCTGGAGTGTTGTAGACCAGCAATGAGCTACCTGCAAGGACAAGAAAGGACATTATTGTAATATTAATTCAGTTTATTCTAGGGAGAAGGGAAGGGAGGTATGGGTAAGAGGCTGTTATCACCAGGAAGTAAGGATCCCATTCTCTAAAGAGCTTGGCATGTTGGTTGCTCAGTAGTGCTGAGCTCTTTTGAAAATCTGGTGGTTGTGTTACACTAGGTGCTGTTGGGTGCTAAGAATTGACAGATGAGCCCCTCACTTAGGTATCTAAATGAAAGCTAAGCTCTTTGGGAAATCAGGCCCTAAGACTCTAGGAAAACCTCTAGGAAAACAACAAACAATCTGGTCTCATATCAGTTTGTGTATGGAATTGTTCCTAGTGGGTGACAGGGCTTACCGGCTCTGCTACTAACACTGCCACACTACTCCTTTTTGTGGCTAGGTTTTCCCCTCTAAAAAATTGGGGTAGTAATTAGGGGTGGCTCAAAACAGATTCTCACTTGCAGTGTTCTGGTGCTTCTGGTTTGTTTGCCTGGTAGAAAAACTTACCTAGAGTCATGTGTACAGACATTTGAACACTGCAGGCATCAAAAGTGGAAAGCCTGCAGTGCTGACACTGCAGCTGGGGTGGGGGAAGAGGGGGAAGGGTCGGGGGAACCGTGCACACATTTTGGTGTCTCCCTTAGTCTGCCTGGTGACAGATGCTCCCTGCTGGAGCAGCAGAGTTCAGCAAGAAACACACTATGTCCCTGGAGAAGTGAGCGGCGGGATGTTGAAGGATTATGTTCTCTTCTGGGAGAAGCCACAGAATGTACAGATTTGTTTTCCCAGGAGAAAAACTCCTGGGAGTGATTTAAACCTGGTTGTTCCCATGTTAGTTTTCTCTTGGAGCAGCCACTTTTATTGTGGAAGAAAAAGCCTGAATATCTGTACACTCATGATTTATCCTGGGAGAACAGCAACTCCCAAAGGCGAACCTGAATGTCTCTACAAGGCCCAGGTATACAAAAATGTGGCGGCGGGGGTGTGTGGAGGCGGTTAACATTGTGTTCCCAAGCATTGATCAATTAACCCGCACAATCCTCCAGAGAGGCATTGTAGTTTAAGGCATTTGGTGATGATAAAACTGAGGCAAGGTGAGACTATGCTGTCTGCCAATGGTCATATATCAAATCAGTGTCAAAATGAGGACCCAAATGCAGGTGTCCTGCATCCTTGTCCTGCTTTTAACTGCAAGTTTATTCCCTCCAGTGTAAACATGAAAAACACAGCCCATAAATCAATGTCCTGTTGAATATCTTACTGTCTTAATGAGACTTTCATATTGACTTAAATACTGCATGCATGCATGCAGATACATACACATGGACAAACACTGCCTTTTGCCCAAATTCTTTGGTGTTATTCCTCTTGAAGAAAGGGGACTGGGACTCAGGAGACTGAGGATTTAGTCCCTACTCTGTGACCAACACTGGGCATGCAACTTAGGAAGGATACTATTGTAATATTAATATATTAATATTAATTCAGGGGTGAGCAACCTTTCAGCAAGAACAAGCAGCAAAGCTTGGTGGAAAGAAGGGTGGAAAACACCATAGCTGATTCCACTGTCACTGAATTGCTGATAAATGTCCCATATCTGTGGGCTAGATAAAATTCCTCAGTCCGCTGGATCTGGCCTATGGGCCATAGACTGCCCACCCCTGTCTTAGAACAAAGTCTTCAAAACTATTCAGTGAGCAATGAGGGCCACCAAGCAGACTGTGTTTCCACTATGGATGGGGTTAGTGGTACAGACAGACCAGACTTTGCCACATTTATGCCAAGCTATTTTGTTCTTGAACTAGCTCCTTTAATTTCAGCATAGATTACTGCAAGTAAGGCACTGCTCCCCATAAGGGGGTACTAAATTAGCTTCTTTAAACCTGATCTGTTGCACAGATTTTCTTCAGTGACCATTAAAACAAAAGTTTTCTGTATGTGGCATAACTAGTTGAGTGGATGAGGGTTCAGGGAATTTCCTTGCTGGCTTGGCTTAGCTATTAACCTGCTGCATAATTTAGGGCAGTTCTATTATTCTATTTTTCCTCTTGATATTGTAAGCTCTTTGCACCTGGAACTGTCTCTTTAAAAAGATCCCAAGAAGCCCTGGGTCTTTTCCTGGCTTTGCCACAGCCCTGCATAATGCTCTTGAGCACGTCACATCACTTATCTGTGTCTTGTGCAAAATTGGGTATAAAGACACTCACCCCTTTTGCAAAGTGTTTTGAGTTGTACTGATGAAAAGTACTAGATAAGAGCTATAATGTACAGCACCTATATACATTATAGGGTCAGGTCGTTTGCTACATTTGGGATCAGGAAGGAATTTTACCCCATGGTTAAAGAAGGGACTTAAAGAATGGGCTGTAGGGGGTTTTGCCTTCCTCTATGGTGGGGAGCGCGGTCTTCTTCCTTGGATCTCCTGTGTGTATTTTAACAAACTACTTCCTATCCTTGCAGTGGCAGGCACTGACAGTGCCCTTACTTCTCAGCTTCACCTCTGGCCAGTTAGGGTGTTTTCAGGCATTGTGCATAAAAGGGTTTCAGGTCCGGCAGCTGCACAAAAGAGTTGTTTGTGCAGTTTTGTTTGGAATAGGCTAGACAGACACTCGTCCAGGATGGTATAGTCAGAGACGATCCTGCCCTGAGCAGGGGGTTGGACTAGATGACCTCCTGAGGTCCTTTCCAACCCTACTTTTCTATGGCTATGATTCTTTCTCTCTCTTCTTCCTCTGCGTGTGTGTGTGTATGTTAAGAACACACAACAGAAGCTGCTGAAACTGCAATAATAAAAATAGGCTAGGAAGAGGCTCTTAGTTTATCCACAGCAGATTGCTCCCCTTTTTTTTAGCAGTGATAGAGGCATTTCCAGCTTAACACAAATATTAGACATGATACAAGCTGCAAAATCCAAATCTGAGCGTTCCAAAGTTAACAGCCAGGTTTGGGGGCTGACAGTTGCCCAAGGCTGACTGGGTCCCAAAATCCCCCACTCTGGAAGTGTTGTGTTGCATTTTTAGTTCAGATCTTTTTTTTCTTCAAGTCCTTTCTCTAAGCAAATCTCTTGGAGCCGTAAGTGCATTACAGGCCATGATAAAAAGCACATGACAGACGGAAGGATTTATGTTTCAAGCCGTTGACATTTTAGGGTTCCCTAGTGGGAACACCACTCTTTAAGCATTTTGCTCTGGTCCCTCTGTGAATTCCAGTGGAAACAGGAGAAGGGGCCCCAGGAGCTCTTGAAAGCCAGCATGTAATACACATTTCATGGCTGTCTAGTTACAGGTATTTACCCTGCGCACTCTTTGGGGGTCATTTTTCAGTGCATCTCTTTGAAGAAGTTTCCACTCCAAAGGCTGGGGGTGACATTCTTAACAGGACCAGGGGCTGTTTGTGGTGATGGCTGATGTCATGAAATGGAGCCAGGAGACTTCCTGCTTGGGTGGAAATGCCCAAGATGTGTTCGAACAAAATCTTCCCACTACTCATGTGTATGCATCCCTTTATTCTGGGGGCTTGTCATATATATGTAGGTCCAAGAATACAGCTATACCTTAGCAGCCAGCAAACACCTTGGCAGAGAATTCTGTAATGTGCATGGCTTCTGTCCCCAGCTCGGTATCTGGAGTATGTATAGCCTTGTCCTGGTTTCTCTTGCATGCAGTCAAGCACTGACTCTGATTAGGGTCTCCTGAGCATGGCAGCAGGCAGCATCTACCTCTCTTTGTTCCAATGATCCAGACCCCAGTGGACCTCACCTTGCCCCTAAAAGCATTGCCACAGTGGCATGTGAATGCGTCTCACATTCCCGCTAGGAGAAATGCAAGCTCAAATAGTTGAATGCAGAGAGCACTAGCCACTAGGGATGCTGGCACAGATCAGCCCTGTGTGTCACAGATTTTTTCCCCCATCCCAAACACTGATAAACCCAGCCTGTGCCTAAAGCCTTTAGATATTAACAGAAAGGCCACTAGCAGCTTGAAAACATCATCTCTTCTGTCATGACTAGGTGATGAATGCTACTGGACACAGCACAGCAGGGAAGTTTGGAGAGCCCTGGATGGATAGCTGAGCAAATTGAGGGGAACAGAACAACTTGAAACAAGGCGCAGTCACTGCAATGAGGGGTGCAAGAGAAACACCACAAGGGATCAGACTGGTGGCCTCTGGCTGCTGTCTGAGAAATGCTATTGCTTTGTCCCCCTTGTTTAAATCTATATGTGCTGGTTTCTGGTTCCAATATTTGTTTCACAGCTATCAGGGGTGAACTCCCCTGCACCACCACTGCCACCACCAGCCTTTCATTTTCAGGTTTATTTGAATAAATCCCGAATACAAAGCACAGCCTAGCTTGCCCCAGCCAGACAGGGAAGTGCTGGGGAATTCAGAAACAGCTTCCTATGACTAAACAGGCTGCAAATGCTGGTTGTTCAGATTGGCGGAGTGAGGGGAAAAAATAGCATTGAATAAGATTGTAAGACCAACCTACAGCTACTTGATGCTCAAAAATGCAGGCTAAGCCACTGAAAAGGACGGAGCCTCCTCCAGTTTAATTGCTAAATATTCTCACCTTTGCCCGACAGTCTGAGGTTTCTGGTGGGAACACCACAGAAAAGGAAATGTGTTTCCTATTAAGGTTTTAAATGAAGAGGGCCCAATCTTGCAGCCCTTGCTTCATTCATCCTCCAGCAAAATTCTCATCATGACAGAGTGTTGTATTATCATCGTACGCCTTCGCTCGAGTCAAAAGAACTTAGACAAAGCCAGTGTTTTATAAAGATTTGGGCCGTAGACAGGACTAGAGTACTGTGCTGTAATTCCCAAATACTCCATCTTATCAGAAGAAATGTACAGTGTTTGGGGTGTTTTCTGATATAGAATTACTTTGACAAGGGGATATGGAGAGGGAATGACAGAGGGAGCTTTCATTACAGATCCATCCCTTAAAAGAGAGCTTATTTTACAGAGCTGCTATGGCAGGAGACCCCAAT